GTGTGTGTGTGTGTGTGACACACACTGCTTCATTTCACGTGGTTGCTCTTTCATGCAGCAGCACTTCCCCACAAGCAGGGTCCGAATGCATGAATGATGGGAACAGCTGCTGAGCTTTTACATGTGACGATTCAGCTTCTAGACCCTGGTTCTTGCAGATCTGATTGACCCGGTACCTTGCAAGCTTGGGGCTATTGGCATTTGGCATTTCTAGAGAATTTGCTTGTCTGCATCTTGGTTGGAACCCTGGGCTGCGGACGGGCCCGACTGGACTGGACTGGACTGGACTGGACCCAACTAGCCGACCAGATCCTCTGATGCCGGCATTTCCACCTGGGAGCTGATTGACCAACTACCTGACTCTTTCTTGACCGTCCGACCCTACAGTGCCGAAGTACTGTGATTTCAGGGTCCGTGGACAATAATGAAGTTATTAGATTATCCTTTTTATACCGACCTTTGCGAGGGTTTAACCCTCGGCATAAGGCCCTGTAGCAGGCGCGTGCCCGTCCTAAGTGAAGGCGGGCCCCCTGAATCTCAATGTGCCTGGTCTCGTCAATTTTTGTAAATCTTGGTGGCCGCCGGACAGTTGCCACACGCCAGTTGGTTACATCCGCTTACCTCGTGAGAATCGGAAATATGTGTAAGCCTTCCAGGCTCTTCCGGCAACGTGGTAGAAACAGGGAGCACTGCACGTTCGTGCCTGGGCGGTTGGGCGTGCCTAACCAATTCGGTCCCAGGCCATTGTCTGAACGGGCCTCGCGCGCAGACGCTTTGGCCGAGACTGAAGCTACTGGAAACTCGGCCTCACGGGGCAATCGGGAGGCAATGAGCCCCGTCACTTTCCATATAGGAAAGGGCTGGACTACAGCGAGAGCATTCCGACACTGGCTTGTGCAAGTGGCAGCGCTGCTGGAGCGTGCGCTAGCAGATGCCGGGCGCGCGCGGGCGTCGAGGAAGACGATGGGCGCTGCTGAGGGCAGCGCCATAGCCAGCCCCCATAGGCGGGCTTGGCTTGGACATAGTCAGTGGAGGTGGTGGTGGTCGTCGTGTATGAGGGAGAAGACGTGGGTGATGAAGTCAAGGGTGAGAGAGAGAGAGAGATGGGGTTGATGATGTGAGGGTCGGTACCTGGTCTTGGCGATGGTCAACAAGGATCTACATCTTCATGTACTATGGTTCTGCTGCTGACGTCAACAGGTTGCATTGTCAATTCGTAGGCTGGTAGTAGCTGTGTGATTGTAGTCTGGGCGCTGAGCGCCAAGTAGGAGGAAGGGCTCTGGATACATATGTTGGTGGTGGCGAGAGTATGCTCTCATTGACATTCGGATTTGGTGCTTTGGTTCTCCGTTGGTGATATATTAGTGCATTTCTGCTTTCTGGAAAGCGTTGGAATTTCTGGCTTTCAATGTGATTTTGCATTCTGGATTTCTGTCATTTCGCTATCACTCATTTTCCTCGCAATTTGGTATCGGAGCTGGTTCGAGCCACTCCACTGGCTCCTTCGCAATAGCTGTTTGGTGCTTCACTGGATATGGTGGGGCAGTGATAATGCTTGTGCGTTGGTTTGCGACGGTGGCCCAGTGTGGTGTGGGCGTCTTAGGAAGGCTATGTAGTGACATAGGGGTGCATGCTAAATGATGAGATCTTGCTGACGTGGCATTTAAGCCGAGGTGGAACTGCATTGTATTGTGGGTTATGCCGAGGCATCGACTGGTCATCATAAATGCACGTCAGGTAACTGGTGAGAAATTTGTGGATGGGGGCAGCACGATGAGGTACATTGCTTTTTGCCTTATCTACCCTCATCGTTGCTTCTTACCATGAGGAAGTGAGTTTTGTCTTGAGAGTCCTCTCATTGTGAGGCGTCGCGAGCGCTCAACCTTGAGAGCCGACATTCTTCTTGGGAAGCAAGCTGGTGGGATATGGGCGTTGCCTCTGAAGGGCCCTTGACGAAGCAGTTCGGGTACATCTGGGTCTTGCATTAGTCAGTCTGCTGGCTTGCATGTCAGCCAGCAGCAAACCATATCAAATGAGGATTACGAGATCTAGCAAATGGATGCTATCCACCCAGAGTTACAGTTGCAGCGCCAGTTACGGGTAGTAGAAGAAAGGAGAAAGAGAGCTAAACTTGGAAAAGCCAGGCTAGAGTCAAGGGTAGAGGAGCTAGGCAAACTAGAAGCTATAGATGAGTCGACACTTGATCCTGTGGTTCTGTCCACTTGGAACTCCTTGCTGAGTGTAGCCGAAGTACAAGCCGTACAGCAAGAGATGTTGGCTGCACTGATAGCTGGTTAGAACGAGATTCTGACCGCATTGCGGGCGCCTCGACCTCCGGTCAGGCAACCACAGTTTGCTGTAGTTCCCCCTACGTTTCCCCTACGATTGCAGGTCCTGTGATGACGCTGCCGTCGGCAGGGCAACCCTTTTCCCCTCAGTTTGGCATGCCCCCATCAGGTGGATTAGTAGCAGGTAGTAGTGGGCAGATTCCTGTACAGCCTTCTCCATTCCCCCATTCAGTGGCTGCCGCTACAGGGCAGCTACACGTGCAGCAGCCTTTGCAACAGGGTCTGCCACAGCAGCAGCAAGTGCCGCTGCAGCAACAAGTGTCGCCGCAGCGGCCTGTTCCACCAGTTTTCAATCGATGCAGCAGGCAGAGGGTGTTGTACAGCCCATGCAGTGGACACCCAAGATACCCTTGTTGAGTCCTAAACCCTTCTCCGGCAACAAGAAGGATGAGGACTTGGATAACTGGGTGAGGACTGTGCCTACATATGTTAGGCGCACGCTCACTAGGACAGAGGAGGAAGTCATTGTCGCTGCATCCTTTCTAGAAGGATATGCAGCTAGATGGTTGAATGGGTTAGTACAACAGCAGGGCTACGGTCAGAACTTTGATGGTTGGGTACAGGCCAGATCATTGGAGGAGGTCGTATGGCTGGTCTACCACAAGTGGCATGAACCCCAAGGGGCTGAGAAGGCCATTGACTCGCTTGCAAGTCTGGGATCAAAGAGATATCGGACAGTTCGCGAGGTAACAACCATTGTAGAGCGATTGATCGTTGTCCCGAGTGTGCAGTAAAACCGCATGTCCTCTTTACGACTGATTTGAGATGTCTGCCTACAGATGTCAAAACTAAGTTGGTCGATGAGGCCTCTATCGACATACATGACTTTGCTTTATTCAGCAAGAAGGCCTTAGACATTGAGGCTAGGCTTGGGAGTGCCCAACAGTGACCGGTAGATAGGAGGAAGAAGAAGCTCCCTCAGGATTGGAGGGGCAATCTCATATTTGTTGACCACGATGGCCAAGCAACTGAGATTGACGACTTTTTTAATCTTGGGGAAGAGACAGAGTGAGATGGGAGTCGGGATGCTTCAGATGGTGGGGTAGCCACGCCAATGAGAAAAAAGGGTAAGGGGGCCGGGAAACAGAAGGTAGGTCGGCCCCAAGGTCAAACTGACCAAGCACCACCCATATGGATGAAGCTTGGTCTGGAGTATGAGATGTGGCGAAACTTTGTTGTGTGAGGCGCTTGCCTAAATTGTGGCCAGTATGGGCACACAATGGCCAAGTGCAAGAGTAAGCGGGTCGCCGGGAAGGTCGCGTACTCAATAGTGACAGTTGGATCTTCCAACTTTGGTGGTGCTTCTGCGAGCACTTCCCAAGGAAACACCTCATGCCAGTAGGAGTGTTAGTCGTGCTTACTCGTGCTAAAGTGGTTACCTTACCTTCTCCCATCAGACGATGGCCAAGGCTACCGACCCCTTGATCGCCCCGTAGACAGATCCAGAGCAAACAATGCTCTGTTCAATGGATGTGTCTGAGTTGTTAGAGGAGTTAGAGACTGGGTGGTCAGAGAAAGACCCTAGAGACTCCTGGGCGATGTTGAACAAAGGTCCAAAGGGTGAACATTTCATGGCAGAAGTTGATGTAGGTGGCTGAAAGGTTGGTGCCTTCGAAGACATAGGTTGTACGCGGAATTTCACCAGTCGTGCTTTGTGTGGATAGGTTGTGCTTAGGGGACCAAGGGTTCAAAGGGTGAACATTTCATGGTAGAAGTCGATGTAGGTGGCTGAAAGGTTGGTGCCTTTGAAGACATAGGTTCTACGCGGAATTTCATCAGTCGTGCTTGTGTGGATAGGTTGTGCTTAGGGGACCAAGTGCAGCGGCTCAGCAGATCTATAGCATCTACCTTAGCCAACAAGCACTCCATGATAGTAAGGGACTATGCCAAGGATGTAGTTTGTACCTTCTCCTATGGAGGAGGGGAATTGAGACACAAGATCTCGCTCCTGGTGAGCGACGAGCTGCCTTTTGATATGTTGCTAGGCATGTGCTACCTCGAGGTTGCTAAGCCTCAGTTCGATTGGGATAGGAAAGTGATGATCCACAAGTTGTCAGATGGAAGGACGTTAGGCTGCAGAAGTTCAAGGCTAGCAGACTAGTAGAGAACTATGGTTGCATGTGTGTGTCGTGAGGAAGGAATGTACCTAGTCTTTGTCTCTGAAAAAGGGGAGGCCGTAAAATCACCCCCAGAGATAGAAGCAGTCGTTGCACAGTAATCAGATCTTTTTGAGGAGCCTAGGGGTGTGGTAGAAAGGGAGATTGTCTACGCGATTGAAGTCGTTCCTGGTAGCAAGGTACTAGTACGGATCTATCGGCTGTCTCCTGCGGAGTTAGATGAGCTTTGCCTCCAACTCAAGGAACTCATAGAGAAGGGTTGGATTCGGCCAAGCACGTCCCCCTATGGAGCGCCAGTTCTGTTTGTCCCAAAGAAAGGGGGGACCCTAAGGATGTGCATTGACTATAGGGGCCTGCCATCATTGTTTTGAACGGAGAGCCCCTGCCGCGCATTGACGACCTCTTGGATAGAGTGCAAGTATGTTGGTACTTCACAAAGATAGATTTGAAGTCCGTATACCATCAAATTGCTATTAGACCTGAGGAACAACAAAAAAACGCTTTTCAGACCAGGTACGGTTTGTACGAGTTTGTGGTGATGCGCTTTGGTCTTTGCAATGCTCCTAGGACGTTCCAGCACGCAATGAACTGGATCTTTCATGACTACTTAGACAAGTTTATCGTCTTGTATCTCGACGATATCCTTATCTTAAGTAGGACTGTAGAGGAGCACGTGAGAACAGTGCTAGGGCTCCTAAGACAGCACCAGTACAAGGTTATAACTTGGAGAAATGCGAATTTGGTCGCACCAAGATCTTGCATCTGGGTCATGAGATTTTCGCAGACGGGTTGAGGCCGGATGAGGCCAAAGTGGCCAGCATACGTGACTGGCCCAGACCTCAGTCTCTATCTGAGGTGAGGTCATTTTGGGGACGACAGGCTACTACCCCCCATTTGTAAAGAACTGAAGTATTGTAGCCTCCCCTCTAACCGACCTCACGCGCCTTGACACCCCTTGGGAATGGACCGAAGAGTGTAAGGCAGCCTTCAAGAGATTAAAGTATGCCCTGACACACTGTGAAGTCCTCAAACTTCCGGATCCTTAACAGCCCTTTGTCGTGACCACAGACGCCAGCCAATACGGCATAGGCGCGGTCCTTGTGCAAAAGGAGGGGAAAAAGTTAAGGCTGATCGAGTACATGAGCAAAAAGATGCCATCTCATAGATTAGCTAAGTCCACGTATGAGCGCGAGTATGCCCTCTCTAGAGCACTGGTCCATTGGAGGCACTACCTCCTCAGCAGATTCTTTTATGTGAGATATGACCATGAGATGCTGCGCAGGATTAAGACACAGCCCGTGCTCTCCGATGCACTCAAGAGGTGGATTGAAGTCATAGATATGTATGACTTCAAGCTCGACCCTCTGAAGGGAGAGTACAATAAAGTGGTTGTTGCACTATCTCGTAGGGCAGACTATCCGGGCGCACTAGTGACTAAGTTTGGGATTTCTGACGATGTAACTGGATCTATGATGGAAGCCTATCAAGAAGACGCTGTTATGTCTGAGATCATCTGCAAACTGGAAGCTAAAGACAAGGTTACCTCCGATGAGTTTGTGTTGGTTGAAGGCTTGCTGTTTCTTGAGAAGGCTGGGAATAAACGTTTGTGTGTTCCAAAAAAAGAGTCTTTGCGTAGTTTATTTTTAGAGGAGTGCCACGATGCGACCGGACATTTCGGCTATAAAAAGACAGCAGCAAATTTACTGCAGCGTTTCTGGTGGTCCGCAATGATGGATGATGCAAAGAAGTATGTAGAAACTTGCCAGAATTGCCAGTGTGACAAGCCACGGACGTAGGCACCGCTTGGGCTTATTAAGCCCTTGCCTACTCCCGCTGGTCCGATCAGAGTGTGTTCATGGACTTCATGGATACTCTTGTGACCAGCAAGGAGAGAAGGTTAACCGACCCCCCAATTTTCACCCTCATTTATAAGAAAACCAAAGGGTCATTTTAACCATACTTTACACCAATCTGTAGAGTGCACTTCTTACTAACATATTGTAAAAAAAAAAAAAAAAAAAAAAAAAAAAAAAAAAAAAAAAAAAAAAAAAAAAAAAAAAAAAAAAAAACCACTGCACTTTGCAGGTTGGTGAAGGTTACCCTAGGGGTTAAAAGTGAGGGTACCTGTTAACCATTTGTGCCAGCAAGAGCGGTAAAAGGCACATCTTCGTCATTGTGGACAGATTCAGTAAGTATGCTGGACTAATCGCTATGCCTGAGACATCTAAGACTGACCACGTCATCAAGCTGTTTATGGACAACTGGGTACGTGACTTCGGTCTCCCGAAGTCCATTGTTAGTGACAGGGATGTCAGATTTACAAGTGAACTGTGGCAAAGTACAGCCCAACAGATGGGCACCCGACTGCAAATGACATCAGGGAACCACCCTGAGTCAAATGGTCAGGCCGAGCAGATGAACCGGGTAGTGCAGCACTTGCTTCGGCATTATGTTAAGCCAAGTCACGATGACTGGGATGAGAAGTTACCTTGGCTGGAATCCCAGATCTGCTCTCGCAGCACTACCGGCATGACTCCCAACCAACTGCATCTTGGTTGGAAGCCCAGATCTGCTCTTGACTTATTGTTGCCTGAACATCAGACAACTGCAGCACCAGGCAGCATAGAGTCTGCTGTCAAGTACGAACAAATGCCGCAGTAGGCTGTCGAGCACATCAAGAAAGCTCAGGATGCCATGGTTGCATCTGCGAATAGACACAGATCGCCATCACCATTTCAGGTAGGTGAACGAGTCTGGGTAAAGTTATCTGAATTGGGACAGGAATTGGCAATCTCCCGTAAACTGATGCCACAGTACTTCCGACCCTGGGAAGTCTTACATATAGTAGGAGATCAACCAGATGGTCCCTCATATGTCATTCGCATCCCTGGTCACCTCCTCACACACCCTGTTTTTCCTGCATCCAAGTTGGCACCTGTTGCTGAAACAGAACAGTTTCCCTCCAGGCGGTCAATGCTGCCCCCAACCATGGACAGACACATGGATATTGACGACATTGTCGAGCACAAGCTGACGCCTGTGCCCAAGCCTCCAGGCAGGGGACGCCCTCCAAAACCGCATATGCAGTATCGAGTGCGGTTCCGACATCATACGGATCCTGAAGAAGATAGGTGGACTGCTCCCCAGATTATCTCCAGTTATGAACGAAATTTGAAAGGAAAGCAGCATGCTGTGTAGCGACTTCTCAGAGGACTAACCAAGTAAAGGACGAGGGAATGCGAGGGTTTACCCCTCGGCATAAGGCCCTGTAGCAGGTGTGTGCCTGCCCTAAGTGAAGGCGGGCCCTCTGAATCTCAATGTGCCCTGGTCTCGTCAATTTTTGCAAATCTTGGTGGGTGCCGGACATTTGCGACGCGCCAGTTGGTTACATCCGCTTCCCCCGTGAGAATCGGAAACATGCATAAGCCTTCCAGGCTCTTCCGGCAACGTGCTAGAAACAGGGACCACCGCACGTTCGTGCCTGGGCAGTTGGGCGTGCCTAACCAATTTGGTCCCAGGCCATTGTCTGAACGGGCCTGGGAAGCAGACACTTTGGCCGAGACTGAAGCTACTGGAAACTCGGTCTCACAGGGCAAGCGGGAGGCAATGATCCCCGCCATTTTCAATACAGGAAAGAGCTGGGCTACAGCAAGAGCACTCGGGCACTGGCTTGTGCAAGCGGCAGCACTGCTGGAGCGTGCACTCGCGGGCTGCTTGCTGTGCGCTAGCGGATGCCGGGCGCGCGCGGGCGTTGAGGAAGAAGAAGGGCACTGCTGAGGGCAGCGCCATAGCCAGCCCCCATAGCCGGGCTTGGCTTGGACATAGTCAGTGGAGGTGGTGGTCGTCTTTGTGCATGAGGGAGGAGACATGGTTGATGAAGTCAAGGGCGAGAGAGAGAGAGAGATGGGGTTGATGATGTGAGGGCACGTACCTGGTGTTGGCGATGGTCTACAAGGGTCGACATCTTCATGTACTTCGGTTCTGCTGCTGACGTCAACAGGTTGCATGGTCAATTTGTAGGCCAGTTGTAGCTGCGTGATCGTAGACTCGTAGTCTGGGCGCTGAGCGCCAAGTAGGAGGAAGGGCTCTGGATACATATGTTGGTGGTGGCGAGAGTATGCTCTCGTTGACATTCGGATCCGGTGCTTTGGTTCTCCGTTGGTGATATATTAGTGCATTTCTGCTTTCTGGACAGCGTTGGACTTTCTGGCTTTCAATGTGATTTTGCATTCTGGATTTCTGTCATTTCGCTATCGCTCATTTTCCTTGCACCTTATCAATTTTATAATCTTATCCTGAAGGACCTGAAGCTATATCTTCAAGTTCTTTTTTTTTTTCTTTTTTTTTTTCTTTTTTTTTTTTGTGATGATGGTCCTTTATAAAGTTTACTTAACATAGTCTGGTGTTATTTCCTGGAGTTATCTACTGGAGTTGGCTGTCGTATCTGTGTCTTATTATGGGCCTCACTCCACTGCGCTGCGTAGCATTCTAAATGTATCAGGATCTGGTGGCCGCCCCGATATATTCAAAATGTGAAGTCAGTCCGAATGTATTGGTCCAATAAACAGTCCAGGTACGAGTCGCCTGTTGATTAGTGAAGCGAGACCCTATGATGTTTAGTTTAGATTGTGTGAAATTGTAGCAGAAGTTGCAGAACTGCTTGGTGCATCGTTCAGAATGATGAATATTGACTTTTTTTTTCCCTGAGGGAAGAAACAGATTTATGGAACGAAGGATGGGAATATAACCTCATAAATTTAGTATATAAAATATATATCCGAATCCAAAGAGATATAAGAAAGGGGGTCAGTCTGAAGCAGTGAATTGGTAGAATTGGAAATACATGGCACAGGTATCATGTTTTCAGTGCAAGTTTTCACCTTCAGTTATCATCTTGAACATTTCTTCAGATTTCAAATTTTCAATAACCTGTTAATCGGTTATATTCTACAGCAATTTGACTGTTGGCCGGGCAACTAATGTCCTCGTCTCTTTCCTTATGGCTGCAGCTCGATTGTCTTGTTATGGGCGTCGACATCCTTGTCACTGACAGGCCTGATCTCCTGCACAAAGCAATGGACCTTTGGCGGGCAGAGAAGAGAGCCATGGCTTTCTGAAGAATGGCAGGGAAAGAAACGCTGCCATAAGTTTCATGGATGTCATATTGTCCGCTGTTAACCGTAGCAGTACTGTGCGGCTTTTGAGCCCTTGCCCTGTTTCTTCTGTATTCTGCAGTTGTGCATTAAGTGCCATTAACAAATCGCAAATTATTTGAAGTTGCATCCGTTACAAATCTGTCCGCGAATCAAACTGAAAAGTGAGCCTGCCAGGATGGTGACACTGCGGGAATTTCATGGGCCCATGGGGCAGCCTATGGGTGGATCGCTCTGTGCGGTTCGGTGGTTGGCCCTGGAAATGGCCCTGGGAGTCGCCCAGTGGTGCATGGGTGAAGCATATTTGGAGTGCAGAGCGCATGTTTTTGGAAAGGTTTTAAGCCGCCACCAACAGCATCATAGCCGACACTTCATGGGGGCGTCAGCAACGATTGCCTGTGTGTGTGCGTTCAGGTGCAAAGAGAAAGGGGGCTGGGGAGCCGCCAAGCAGCGGCTGTCGGGCGAGCATGGTGTTGGAGACTATAGTTGGGGGGAAGATCTCTCTCTCTCTCTCTCTCTCTCTCTCTCTCTCTCTCTCTCTCTC